GGACCGTATTTAAAGGGCCTTATACATAAGAGCTCAGGTTTGCTCCCCAACATTTGAAAACAGGTAGGACTGGAGGTAGGACACGCATCTCAGTTGCAAGAAGGAAGATAAGCTACAGGAGAATTCGCCGCTGGTAGGATAGTGCAGGCTGCTGATGGTTGGCAGCACTGAGTGAGGCTGCATCTCTCTAACCCGCAGTAAAGCAGACAGTTTTAGTTGCCTTAATCCCTCGTTTATCCCTTTGGCAGCATGGTCCAGCTAAGTGGTCTCTGGGACTAAACACAGGCTCAGGTTCTTGCCACTTTCTCCATTGCAAACATGGAAAGTAACTCTTCCCGCAGCACGTGGAACCCCAGCAGCTCAACACCCGACCCAGGGTGAGGTCAGGGCTCACAGGTAGATCCTCAGGGGACACCTATAACATGATAGGCACGGGACAAAGAAACAAGGACCAAGATTTGGCTTGCTGCGACCTGTAACGTCCCACAGTAATGAAGTCTGCTCCCAGGGATGCACGGGGCACGTGCGGAGACCTTCCTGTGGGAGAACCTTGCACCCACGTTGCAGGTGGGATGCTCCATGCAAAATCCCAGCTTGCGACTTCAACTTTACTCCCAGTGGGAGGGAAATCACTTTGAGAGCATCACTTGTGCACTTACATGCATAACCCAAGATTGCAGGTATAGACACAAGGAAAATTCACACTTAAATAGCTCCCACCCAGCATAGTAATCAGCAATGTAGGCATACCCTTAGAGTCTAATCTGTTCCTACTCTGTCCATAGGGGAAATAGGGTGAGGCTGAATGCAGTCCTTGTCCCGTGGACGTGGGCAGCCCCTTCTTTGGAGCCATGTCACATCAAGAAGAGACCCCAAAACTCCTGTAAAGCTCTGTGGCTGCAGATGGGGTGCTCAGTGACCAGCTGCTATGGGGAGAGGGAAAACATGCTGGATAATGCTGGTTGGGAGGCAGAAGTGGCTAATGAAGCAAAAACCTACTTTGTATCAAACAACATGATGTAGATTTTACTGATGAATCAGAAACCAATCCTGTTCTCTTAATCACAGACAGAGGTTTGTTGCAACTCCAGAGAAATATCCAAACCAAATGGTAAACAGAAGAAATCCTGGCTCTCGAGCCTCAGTGTTCCCTTGGAGCGTGACATAGATACAATAATCTGTCCTTTGGGCAGGGAGCAAAGCTGTTGCTTGCACTGGCTCCCTAATCTTGACCAAGGTAAGGTCCCACCTGGTACGCCTGCTTTTGTTCAACCTCACAGCATCCCCGTAACAGCAAAGGAGACCGAGGAGAAAGCGTTGCACAGGAGAACACAGCCAGCACATTTTAATAACCGTGTGGAGGTGGCCCACAGCACACCTTGGAAGAAGGGCTGAATCCAGAACCCTCCCTCCGCTGTCTCTTGCTTGACTCCAGCTGTGCACTGCACTGTGAACGCTCCATCTGGCTCCGTAGCCGGGCCAGCGATGACCGTTACCTTTATAACAAGCAAGGTCAATCAGGTATTCCCAGCTGGAATACAGCGAGTTTATCTGTATCGCAGAAAGGCACTTGCAGGCAATACAATACACGGGTAGGCAGGTAATGCAGCCTTAACTAGTGAGACCCCACCTGGAGTGCTGTGTCCAGTTCTGGGCTCCCCAGTTCAAGAAGGATGAGGAACTCCTAGAGAGAGTCCAGAGGAGAGCAACTAGGATCCATCTCCCCTGTGAGGAAAGGCTGAGGGAGCTGGGCTTGTTCAGCCTGAAGAAGAGAAGACTGAGAGGGGATCTCATCAACACATACAAATATTTTAAGGGTGGATGTCACGAGGACGGAGCCAGACTCTTTGCAGTGGTGCCCAGTGACAGGACAAGGGGCAATGGGCACAAACTGAAGCAGAAGAGGTTTAGAATCACTTTGGTTGGAAAAGACCTTTGAGATCATCGAGTCCAACCTTTAACCTAACCCTGACATCCCACCACTAAACCCTGTCCCTAAGCACCTCATCTAGCCTTCTTTTAAATACCTCCAGGGATGAGGACTCT